ACACACACACACACACAATAATGATTCAATAATGCTTGCCGTCGAGAAACCAGAGGATCTGATTCAGGTGGAAAAGGTGAACAGGATTGAGGAGAAACAGGGACCACTGAAAAACACACAAACAAACAACAGATGGAAGGACCAAAGAGGCCAACAGCTAGGACATGCTAGACCATAGACACATTTAGGACAACAGCCACGAGGCCTAGGACAAAGTTGAGGAAACAACTATGACTATGGCGGTGACAGCGGTTGGAGACCTACCCCAAACTTCAAAAAACAAAAACTAGACTAAACCCTATCTTGGGACGCCCTTCGCCGATTGACCTTAAATAGTGAAACTGAGAGGCTCTAGCAAAAATAGGGAGTGTGAAGGGGGTGTTTTACAAGCATATTAAAAAAAGAAAACCATTGGTCCATGTCTCCTGGATGGCGCTCTTGAGTCCCGGCTCCAGGAGTCTGTACCCATTCAACCACGAACTGGCCAGCCACATCTCCTCGCCCAAGACGGTTTTGACCTGAGAGTCTCAACACCCCAAGGGCTCACATGGGTAGTTCTCTAAATTAGGGTCCCCTCTACGTAGGATCCTTTTTATAAGAGCGCCGTACTAAGTTTGGGATCCATAAAGGGGTCCTAATTTAGAGAACTACCCATATTATGCCTACACTGGGTGTCGTGTTCAACAGTCACCAAAATTGTTCATCTTTATAGTTAAGGCTCTCTATTAAACTTTAAACAATAAGGGAAACTCAGGTTATCCCAAATCGATAGCTAGTATATAGTACGTACTGCGGCCATAAGGGTTCCTCTCTAGAACTTTCGGATCAACGACCAAACAGTCTCCACTGTAGTTCCGTTTCTAACTTCTTGGTTAAAACTAGTTTTATATTAAGGACCCTAAACGGAAACCTCCAAAAGGAACTACACTGGAGACTGTAGGCATATACTATGTATATATATTAAGGACCCTCAACGGAAACTCTTAAAAGGAATTACACTGGAGACTGTAGGTATATACTATGTATGCACCCTGGACCCTGGGGGATATAGTGGTCGAACGAGTCGAAGTGGAGTCTCGGAGAGCTTTAAAAGTTTAGGGTTTGGGGTTTAGGGTTAGGGGGTTTAGGGTTTGGGGTTTATGGGGTTTGGGGGTTTAAGGTTTGGGGTTTAGGGTTTGGGGTTTAGGGTTTGGGGGTTTAGAATTGGGGGTTTAGGGTTTAGGGGTTTAGGGTTTAGGGTTTCGGGTTAATAAGGTTTTTACATACATGAGGGGACCCCCACGCAAGACAAGTGCGAAGAATTTCAAGCAGCTCTATATTAGAGCCTAAATAATTACCAACATTATTCTGGGGGTTCCGTATTTTAAGTATGGCATAACTTACCCCAAAACCCCATCTAGACTATTAAGGCTCATATACTATATTAGGGCCTGTTGTTGAGTGCAGCCGGTGGCTTTGCTCGACGGCTGGGGATTCAAGGCCCGAAACGTCAGGAAAGCCCAAGATACGTCTAGGAACCGGTGGAAGCTTTTTGCTTAGGTGCGGCTTGGCTTCGCTTGGCTTGGCTCGTACCGGCGGAATGATTGTTTTTCTTAGGTTCGGCTTGGCCTTTGGTGCGGTTTGGCTCGGCTTGGCTTGCCCTGCCTCAATTCGAACTGCCCTGGCTTGTTTTTCTTAGGCAGGGCTCGGCCTTTAGCCGTACGCAGGCTTACAAGCTCTCAGAGGCACGAACTTGGCCAGAACCTGCCTTGCGACTAGCAAAGGCCTCAGAGCTCTAGGAAGCCCTGAACCCGAAACTAAGCCCTAAACCCTAAACCCTAACCCCTGAACCCCAAACCCTAACCCCCAAACCCTAAACCCTAAACCCTAAACCGTGGCTCTTTAGGCCCTAAACAACCTTCTATTGGCAGCTGGAGGGCCTTCTCCTGGTGCTTGAAGATCCTATAGTTCCTGAGTCTCATACCCTAGGGCTCCCTCCTCCATAGGGTTTTGGGTTTAGGGTTTTGGGTTTAGGGTTTAGTCTAGGGTTTTAGGGTTTTGGGTTTAGGGGTTCAGGGTTTAGGGGTTTTAGGGTTTTGGGTTTAGGGTATTAGGGGTTTAGGGTTTTTTGGGGTTCTTGCTAAGGAATAACCCTAACCCTCCAGGTACCCACTATATAGGGCCCTGGGAGCTCTAGTACCCTCTATAGTAGGTACCTGGAGGGTTAGGGATATGCAAGGTCAGGAGTTTGGGATTTAGGCGGTGTAGGGGTTAAGTGCCAACACTAGCACTGTCAGAGCAAGTACTGCTTACAGACTTTGAGCCCAAGCAGGCTTTATTTAAATTTGTTTACTCGGAAGTCTGTGCAAAGTCTATGTCACTCCCAGGTGCGGGGCTGCAGTGCGGCTTGGAGGTTTGAACGTCGCTGTTTTTGAGATGTACATTCTCAAAACAAGGGTTGTTGCAACTAATGATAGTAATTATTTTTCACAGGGCGAGTACGCTATGGCCGACCTCACCGCATCAGTAGGATTTATACAGTGAATCAGTAGGATTTACAGCGTTGTTCAGGGTTTTGCTTTCCTAGCCAAACTTAATCTACGGTGCCCCGTTGAGGTACCTCCTTGCAAGCAATAATTAAGGGACACAGCGCGCCAACAGAAAAAAAAAAAAAACAATCTAAATTGGGTTTAGAGTTTATGGTTTAGGGGTTTAGGGATTTAGGGGTTTAGGGTTTTAGGGGTTTAGGGTTTGGGGGTTAGGGGTTTAGGGAACGAACCCTCTCAGAGCCAAAGTCAGCTCTTACGCAAGACCTCAGCGTTCAAGAGAAGCCTAGACCTGCAAGGCTCCAATGTCGGGGCCTTAAGAATCCTTGGGGTCTAGGGCTTAGGGCTTAGGGTCTAGGGCTTAGGGCTTAGGGTCTAGGGTTTAGGGCTTAGGGCATAGGGTTTAAACGGTTTAGGGCTTAGGGCTTAGGGTTTAGGGCTTTGGGTTTAGGCTGCAGGTTCTTAAGAATTCCCCAAAATAAGAATCAGAATAGGGTTCGGGGGAGATAAGGAATCAGATAGCTAATTCTGCAAGCCCCTAAACCCTCAACCCTAAACCTATATTCACCCCGTTGCCCGTCAGACAGAAAGTCTAAATCTGACATTCTAAGTTAGAAAGTCCAAGCCTATACCCCAACCCTCCAGGTACCTACTATAGTGGGTGCTAGAGCCCCTAGGGCCCTACATAGTGGGTACCTGGAGGGTTAGGGTATATAGATCTTAAGCATCCCCACACCCTCAAGCTTAAACCTGAAGGCCTTAACCGCCCAGAGTAGGTTTGGGATGAACTCGAATACAGCTGCACAAGGAATACAAAAAAAAACCCTACTAAAGCATGCAGGCCCCGACATTCTAGCATTTTAAGCTCCGTAGGCTTGTGCTTCGCCCTCTAGAAGATTTCGGAGCCCTGCGCAAACGGCGTCGACGCTACGGATCAGCACAGCAGGGGGTTGGGCTTCAACAGTTTATGTTTCTGTTTCCATAAGGCTATGGGGATTTTCAGTCTTCTTGGTCCAAGGACCGGACCGCAAAGGCCACACTACATAAAAGGATTTCGGGCTAATGCAGGGGCCTTAACCATCAGAATAATATTGTGCCATCGTCGTATCAGGCTCTGCAAGTGCAATGCTAATATTCATTTGAGCCCTGGGCTTTTATTTTGGTCCCTAACGAGTAGGCTTCAGGGATGCGGTGCTTGGGTTTTTGCTGTGTTTGGTCGGGCTTCAGAACCTTCACCGTGACTTCTTCGCCGAAATTCCCTAGAACCTCCCTAAACTACCCTAAACCCTAAAACTCTAAACAATGGACCCACAATGAAGAGAACCCGAAGCTGCAATCAAAGCGAGGCACATTCGCCAACCGGCGTTGTTGTAGGTCCCTCGAAAAGCCACCCAGCATTTGCCTGGCTGGTGTCGATTTCAACAGTCCCCCGAATCAGTTATACTTAGAGCTCCATCTTAAACAACACGGGAACTAAAAAAAAATGCCCCAAATCGATACCTAGTTTCCGTCGTAGGCTCGGACGAGTCTCGCCAGCATGAAATCTTCGCCTCAGAAATCAGAAAAATCGGGTTTAGGACTTAAGGGCTTATCAGTTTAGGGGTTAGTTAGGGCTTTGGGGCTTCAGGATTTTGGACTTTAGGGTGTTGCGGTTTATGGTTTGGGTGTAGACACCAACAGTTCGGGAAAAAAATACTAAAGTCCAAGCGCTACAGACCCAACAGGGATCCCTAATTTTCTGAAACTCCCGCAGAATACACCCCGAGCTTTGAACCCATGCATTGCTTGCATCTGGACCCCTAAATCCGACACCTTGTGCCTCAACATGTAAAGCTTAACAAACCCACACCCTCAAATTCAAAACCCCTAAGGCCCTGAACACTAAGTTTCCTGAAAAGCATTCCTAGCGATCACCACCTGAAACTCTAAATCTCTAAATCTCTAAACCCTGAAAACCCCTAAACTGTAAACCCCAATACCGTGTAAAGCTTTGAAGCTCTCTTAAGGCTTTTACATCCCAAAAACTGTTCAGCCGTCTAGACCCTAATCCCTCATACCCTGGAACCGTCAAACCTTTTAGAGGGTTTCATCAGGGCTCCTCTATGGGTCTTGTATATGGCAGCCTATGCGATCCCTAGACCTGCAAGACCCCTACCAAACCCCCTCAATAGGATTCGCCCTCTTAACTGGGACTCCCCAGCAGCCGTTTGTGGCATTGGGTAGTCCTTACAAGGAGCCCAAGACCACCAAAATGGAAAGAGGGGCCACTGGGAGACCTAGCTAAGAGCCCTACACCCTACACATCTAAACAGTATGTCCTGCAAGGGTTTTCTATGTGGAGTCATGCTTTCCATAAGGGTTCTATACTAGGTGCTGTAAACCCTAAAGCGAAGAACCCTGAACCGCTATAGGATTATCTTGCAAGGATTCCTTTGAGCGGCACTCTAGGGTCCTATAATCGGGTCCTCTTAACGGGTACTGTAAGGTTCTATAGTCGGGCCCCTTGAAGGAACCCTTATGGGTTCTATCCGGGTTCTTAAACTCTAATGTCGGGGCTCTAATCACTAGAATGGGGTTTTGCGATATATTATACCATAATTATAAGCAGAAACCACGAAAAAATAGTGTTCGCAATTATTTAGGCCCCTATATTCCTAACCGATTACAGCCCAAGAGTTGGAAACCCAATAGCCTCAATCCTTACGAGCAATGCATAGGGAGTCCCAGCAGTATTTGTCCTCACTCCGGTTTCCAGCATTTTTTGCTGTTTACTGCTCAAGGAAACACCGAAATAGTATTACTTAGTAATCATTTGGCCCCTATACCCTAAACCCTAAATCCTAAACCCTACGCCCTAAACCCTAAACCTCCAGGTCCCTATACCCTAAGCCTAAACCCTATAAACCCTAAACCCTACGCCCTAAGCCCTAAACCCTAAACCCTAAGCCTTAAACCCTAAATCCTAAGCCCTAAACCCTAATTAACGGAAACCTCGTAGTTTTGCGCTCCGGGCCGCCAGTCCAAGGCTCTTTGGCCTCGACCGTCTTCCTCGGTTGGACAGTGTCAAAGAAGCAGAGTAAGAGGGGTTAGGGGTTTAGGGCTTTAGGCAGGAGGGGTGAGGGGTTTAGGGCTTTAGGGTTTAGGTAGGAGGGGTTAGGGGCTTAGGGCTGAGGGCCGTTGGGTTTAGGATTTAGGGTTGAGGTAAGAGGGGTTAGGGGCTTAGGGCTGAGGGCCGAGGTATGAGGGGTTAGGGCTTTAGGGCTGAGGGTCTTACGGTTTACGGTTTAGGGTTTAGGTAAGAGGGGTTAGGGGTTTAGGGCTGCGGGCCTTAAGGTTTAGGCTCCAGGGTTGGGGTATGAGGGGTTAGGGCTTTAGGGCTGAGGGCCTTAGGGTTTAGGCTCCAGGGTTGAGGTATGAGGGGTTAGGGCTGGGGGTCTTAAGGTTTGGGGTTGGGGTAAGAGGGGTTAGGGGTTTAGGGCTGAGGGCCTTTGGGTTTAGGGTTTAGGTAAGAGGGGTTAGGGGTTTAGGGTTGATAGTAAAGGGCCAGAAAGATGGAACATGATCCTCATGCCCCTAAGGTATGAGGGATCCTAGCACTATCCTCCTAAACCCATGTTCCAACTTTCTGGGATTTGCTGTAAGGGGGTACCTGCACGGATTTCTACAAAGGTTCTATGATAAGGGCCTGACAAGGGATCTAAATGGGTTTACAGTTTGCGGGTGTAGGGGTTGGAAGCAGGGTTAGGTTTCGTATCAGGGTTACTGATAAAAGGTCTACAATGGTGGATCCTAAGATCTTCATGTAGGTTTAGGCTGTTGGAATGTTGGAACAGGGTTCAGGAATCCGGTTGTTGGACGAGCTTTGCAGTAAGCATTTAGGGTCTGTTCGAGCTTGTGATCTAAGGATGTATGGCGACACATGTGGATGCATGCATGCATGGATGGATGGACGGATGGATGGATAGATATGCACGCACACACACACACAGATACACATATATATATATATATACACATTCAGTTCTATCTATATGCATATCCAAATGTTTACCTGTATACATAATGTGTGTGTGCGTGTGTGTGTGTATATATATATATACATTTACGTACATTTGCATACATATACATATTGATACATATATATATATATGTATACAGAGAGAGCTACATTAGCTTGGTACGTAGGTAGGCAGGCAGGCAGGCAGATAGATAGTTAGATATGTAGGGCAGATAGATGGATAGATAGATAGACAGATGGATAGATGGACAGATAGATAAATAGATAGACAGAGAGATTACATATAATATAAACATGCAGATGTGTATAGTATAGAAGTCGTTCTTCGTTCGTTTGCTTTTTTTAGTACTTTGCATATGATGAAGAAGTAGTCAGGATTTGGGCCTCCTGGCTTCGGATGTATAGACTTTGTACGTGTGGGAATCCGCGTTTGGGCGTTCAGGAGGAAGCCTCCTGTCGAACATCTCCTGACATGAACCCTAATCCCAAGCCGCCCGTAAGACGAAATCCACCCCAAGCCCGAAATCTCAAAACCTGAACCCTAAACCCCGAAGCCTAGCTCGCCTAAAGCCTCAAACTCGAACCATGCAACCGTGAGGAGCCGTACAAAAGAGCCTTAAGACTGGGTCCCTACAGCCCTAAAGCCCTCGAACCTGGACAATCCCAGCGTCAGGATATCGCCATAGTACTTGGTCATCGCGGGATGCATGTACCTGTGGGCTTATAGGTTTTGCTCACGATTTGGAAGGGACTTATGTAAGATTCTCGAGGGTGCTGAATGGCCGTTGGTTTAGGGTCTGGAGGCATTGAGATTTTAAGGTTTAGATTGGCGTTTCAGCTTTCGTGTTCCTGAAGCTGCAGCTTTAAACGCCTTGCGGAGAAACTTACAGCTTTGATGGGATTCGCGGCTCGAGTTCGGATAGGGATCAGGTTTTGAGGGTGTGCGCCTAAGTTTGGCGCAGGGATCAGGGAGGGATCAGGGGTCAGATTAGATTATGGGGTGCTGGCACCTCGAAACCCAAAGGCTGCATGCGCACATATGTTCTATACTTTAAGTAGTCCCTCCGCCAAAATATATATATTATTTGGGGTACATGGACCCTGAGGGTAATACCTGGAACTCTAACCTTCACATGCGGGCATGTAAAGCACCAGCAACGAAGTACCAAAAGACCAGGCCCTGAACGCTTTAACCGCCCCGTACCCTCAACCCGAAACCCTAAAGCCTTATGAACCCTAAAGCTCCGAATCTCAGTCTCACATCCGTCCTCAACCAGACTTCGAACAAGCTGCCACAACCCAAACCCGAAATTCCCAAACCCTGAGCCATCTTCCCCTAAACCCTAAAGCATCAGACCCCGAAACACCGAAACCGCACGAACCGAAACCCTAAACCATCCACAAACCTCTACATGCTGAAACCCCAAATGCCAAAAACCTAAACCTGTAGACCCGTTACCCCCTAAACCCTAAAGCTACAAAAATAAACACAAACCCCCGAACGCCAAAACCCTGACTAAATGGAACCTGTTTAATACCCCTCAAATATTAACAACACAAAAATACCGCAAACCCAAAGCTCAGCCTAATTGAATTCGACGCGGTGCGTGCTCCAGGCCAGTTGTCCACCAACCTGACGGACAAATGGTCTCGAAACCCTACAGACCCTAAACTATAGACCCTAAACTCTAAACCATGAACCCTAGACCCTAAACCCTGAACTCTAAGACCCGAACCTCAAACTCTATTCACTAAACCCCGAACTCTAAACCCTAAACCCTGAACTCTAAACACAAAACCCTGAACTCTAAACACTAAGCCTTGAACTCTAAACGCTCAATTAAACACTGAACTCGAAGCCATAAACCCTACTATTGGAAACTCCCATAAGGTGTGGCTTGATCGAGTTTAGGGTTTAGGGCTCTGCAAGGGTCCATCTGCCTCTAGTACACTGAGCCCTTCAAGGTGCTCTCATATCGGTACTTCGGATCGAACTATATATACCATATAGATACTATAATATGGGATTTTGTTTTGGTTTTGGGCGGTGCTTATAGTCACAGCAAACAAAGTCGCGTGAAGGTTCCAACCCTACAAAGCCACACCCCGAACGTCGAAGCCACTGAAGGGGGATCAGGAAGGTCTGATGTCGGGGTCAAAGCTTGGGCACCAGGGCTTGGGGCGGGTTTGAGGCTTTTGCTTTTCGAGCTTTCGGGGGTTCGTCGAGCACGTAGATTAGCGATTCCTTTTGCCTGAGGGGCCTCCTGTCTGTGCTGCTGTTCAGTTGGAATGCTGCTGTTCAAGACCCTGGACTCTGGATTTGAGTGTTGAGGGTTCTGTGTTTGGCTTAGCGCCTCCCAGGAGGCGCACTCGATCGTCACCCCAGAGCTCAAACGCTCAAACCACGACGGTAAGGCTCAGGGCTTCCCTACCTTCCACGGACAAACCCGACCCCAAGCCGCCCGGGCTGTATAGAAGCCCTCGGGCCCTCTTCAGTCCAAAGTTCGGATAGCTCAAGGTACCCCTTGAATCTCCGATCCCAAACCCTAAACCCTAAATCCCGATGCCTCTGATGCTTCACAGAGCCCCAAAAATTGAAGTACCAGAGCCCCAAGCCCGAAATCCGCGCCGTCGCGATCTTCCAGTCCTCAGCCGTCAATAGGTCCTGAGGCTCGGTGGGGGGGTGCTCAAACTGCGCATCCCTGCACACTACTAAGGGCCCACGCACACAAATAGTATGTATGCCGTCCCCAGAGTACCTATAGATTAAGCTCGTCTAGACCTGAGTGTATCATGGGACATTACATAC